TTTTTCTTAAATAAAATTACTCGACATCTATACTATTTCTACTGTAGTTTCTATAAAATATGAAAATTTCCTAGCACATTTTCGTATGTGAAAAAGGTTTTTATTTTTGCAAAAAAAAAGCAGTACTTGCAGTACGTGTAACACCCACCGAAATGCGTTGTCCTTCTCTATAAAAAAGTCGCAGTATATGGCGCTTTTGTTTCAAACAGCGACGCTTGGGTTTTTGTTTATGTTATCGCCTTGTCGTTGCTTGGTTGTAAGCATTCTAATTTGAATTAGAGTTAATTCGGTTTAGAATTAATTAGATTCCAATTCGGGGGTACATAGTGCCTACCCTTCTTTGTTTCCAAGCATTATTTTGCGCCACAAATGAACGGCAAGCGCCAGAAACGCAGCCAAATCTTGCGATTGCGACTACGAAATTCATTATTTTGGCCTCAGAGCCTGAAGCGAAAAATACAAGCATATTTATTTCAAAAAGACTTCAGGTTTGTCGAACGGTGTTATGAGAATTTTGATAACAGTACTGCATAAGTTTTCAGTGATGCCGCAAAAGTGTTGTATATATCTTTTTATTGTGCAGTCGGCGGGACCGATTCAAAATTGAGTCGTTGCTACTAAAATAGCAGCATATGGCGACAGATGATGAACAGAAAAATAGTTGCGTAAATTTAGACATAAACCACCCCCAAACCATGAATATCTTTTGAAGGCACTATAGACGACCATTAACTAACTAGATGTGATGAAGATCAAATGTAATGAATACGCTCATTTTACAAAATTACATGCAAGTACCAAAAAGTGATGTAAGTACTTATTCAACGGTCATTTTCAGCGCTCCCCGCTAACGTGACTTCAAGTTGAGATATTTGCGGCAAGGTACCGAATTGAGCAAAATGGTTTTAATTTACATTATAACTTATTGTGTTTTGTCAGAAAATGGTCCTAACTCAGATTTTGTGGAAAAAGGTCATAATCTCCCTTTAAAAGCAAAATGCATGGAACTGACCAGATTTTGGCGGCAGTAGTAGTTGTGGACGGCGGCGGGCGGTGCCAGTTCGGCCACGTCGCGCAGCCGGCGGCGCAGCTCATCGGCCTCCGCCTTGGCCAGCGCCAGCCGCTTCTGCAGCATCATCATCTGCTTGCGGTTCTCCAGGTCACGGCCCGACGAGTCCAGGAACTGACGGTAAGCCAGGTCGAACGCCTGCCGATGGTTAGCGTGATCTCTTCCGCCTGCCGGTAAAAAGATAGATTTGACACTAGCCCAAACCACTGGACATTTGTCTCTAAGCATTGGTTCAGTACGCTGACCAGCGTCATTACGGGGGTTCCGTGATACCTGAGCGAGCGTCATTTTAGCGAACGACATTTGAGCGTATATTTTCACCGATTATTAATTTGAGCGTTTGACCCTTTGAGCGATAGTCAATTCGGCGAATTCAATAACAGCGATGATCACCTAACGCGAGGACCAGAATCAGCGAAGCCGGCTTGAGTGAATATATTGCGGTCAATGGAGACTAATTGAGCGAATACAGTAACGGCGAAACCGAGCCCAACAAAAATGATTATTTGACACTTCCAGAGAATTCTTGCCCTTGGAATACAAACCTCTAAACATGAACCCATCTAATACGTCATGCTTCAGTCTGCGCGCGGTAAACAATAAAAAAAAAAAAAAAACGATAAACTTTGGTCCTCACACCGCAACTTCAATACATTGGGCCTACACCGCATCATTTTCACAACTTTCCATTCATAATTCATGGCCCCAGATTTAAATCAACCAGAGGTAAAAATAAAATTGGAAACAAAGGAAACAGCTAGCGTGTGGACAAAGATTGCACCACTAAATGAATCATTTCAAAAACTTTGAGAAATTTAGCGTTAAATTTGCGACTCAATGCAGGTATTGTATTAGCTTCGAACATGACATCCACCATACTGTTCCAGATAATGAGAAATTTCGGCGGCACTTCGTGTGTCATTTATACGTATGACTCGCAAACGTAAAGAAATGCACCGTGACGACTGACGGAGAATAGTGTTTCGCTCAACCAACATGACAACCGCTCAAATAGAAGGCGGCGAAATGGATGTCGACGAAACATAGTTTCCGCTCACATTGATAATCGCTATATTTGATAATCACTTAAATTGATAATCGCTGAAATGCCAATCACTGAAAATGGTTGGCTCGAATGACACTTGCACAAGTCACTCGCACCGTCATTCAGGAGTTGATGCGTCACTGGCAAAGAATCACATTTCATGAGGTTAACCCGTGCCGGGCCGGGGGGTGTTTGAACACCCCCCTGCGGTTTTTCGCAGATATCTAAAAAACGGCGGCGCTTTTTGGCACACCTGTTTGTGCATCTTTTCCGCACATGTGAAAACTTCAGACCCTGACCCCATGCGAGGCAGGTCCCCTTAGGTCCTTAGGTCCTCAGGTCCCCTTAGGTCAGGTCACCAGGTCACGCCAAGTGACCTCACCCCACAAAAAAATATGAATGCTCGTCATAGCTACACCGACTGAACGGTTGCCTTGAAACTTTCAGCGATTGATAAGAGCAATATTATCTACAAAATGTATATCTTGGAATTTTGATATCGGTGATCTAAGGTCAGGTCAATTTTGCGGCCTCTCCATTATAAGTCAATGGGAAAAAAAAACTAAAAAGCGTCTGTTTTGCACGAACGCTATTCTAGACACTCTCGAACATCGAGATGTAGGTTAAATTGACGCCCTGAACCGGAAATGGCAACTGTGACCCCTTGTTATGTCCCCGAGGTCATCTCAGGTCACGAACAGAATCTAACCGTTTTTCTCTAATAACTTCTGATAGAGGCATGCTAGAGCGCTGAAAACGCCTTAGATGTGTTCGGCTCGACGTTGCGGATCGACTGGTATGCAACATGACCTTTTCCGGCCAGGTAATGACCTTGACCTGAGGTCAAATTTTCAAGTTGACCTTTCAAGGTCAAATTATAGTTCATTCGACGCGTCTCGACGACAGGAACACGGTGCTGGCAAAAGTTATGTCATGGCTTCCCTGAGTCAAAAGTTATTGCCAAAAAAAAAACGCTTTCCGTAAAAACGGCTATTTTTGGAGTTTTTGCCCTCTGGAGGCTAAACCGTTGACCTGAGGTCAAATCTGAGGACATTATCCAGAAAGGTCTGTAAAAGGGCCATCGAATGCGCTTTTCCGTGGCGCTGTAGCTCTACCGGTTCCCGAGATAGCCGTCGGCAGTTTCCAAAATGTTGAAATAGTCAACATTGGTGACCTCTGGTGACCTCTGGTGACCTGACATTAGACCTGACCTAAAAAAGACCGAAGTATTTTCGTCATGATTTTTGACGCCTTTTCGAATGATCGCGTGTCGATAAGGGCCCCAGGAGCTGAGTTAGACAGGGGGTGCTCTTGAGACACCCCCCCCGGCCCGGCGCGGTTGGTGTCGAACACCGGTCCAGCGTGGGTTAACCCTCGCCCGTAAACGGCGATCTGCCACCTTCGCCCATGCAGGGGGGGGGGGTTGGTGCGACCCCCCCCCCTTGGCGTTTGAAAACGGAGCGTCGTAGAGCTTAGCGGAAAAGACCAACGGATTGCTCTCGCCGAGATCTCGCGATTGGTGGTATATTTTTTGGTCCTAGGTCAACATTTGACCTACTTTTGACCGGTCAAAGGTCACATTTTCGGAAAAATAGACTTTTTTCAACTTTCCGCGGCGATTGCGGCAAAACGGTGGGAGATATCGACTTGAAACTTTCACTATCGTGTTCCTTGATCAATTCTCTATCGTTTGGTATGTATTTCGTTTCCCTAGCTCTAAAAATGGCGCGTTGGGAGCGCCGGAAGTCGGCAAGGTCACAGTCGGCGGCAGAAATTCGAAAAATCAAAATTTAAATTTTTGAAATCTGATTGTATTTTTGGATTTGGGAGGTCCATTTACTCCCTATAGAAGCTAATATTGCTGCATATTCCCATTGAGGTGACAAGAATTAGCAAAATAGTGGTTCGGGCGCTTTTCAAAAATAGTACCGGACGCTGTTCCTCTTGTGACGTCATAGCTCCGTGACCTGACCTGACCCGGTCAAGTTTCTTATACCATATGATAGCCAATACTTGCCCCAACATGCATGGGAAGTTTCATCACGATCCATCAACCGATGTCCGTACCACCGGCAGGAAACCTCGGGCGTTGGCACTCAGTTTGTGAAAATCCGGCCGGAGGCTGTTCCCTTTGTGACGTCATAACTCCGTGACCTGACATGACCCGGTCAAATTTTTTTTTATCAAAAGATGCGCAAGGTTTGCCCCATAAGGTACCCAAAATTTGGCGGCGCTGCGCGCCGCCGTTTTTGCACTATTTCCGAAAAACCTCAGGGGGGGGGGGTTGCACCAACCCCCCCCTACATGGGCGAGGGTTAAAGAATGCGGAGCGATTGAATGAGTTAATTTAGAATTACATACAGTGATTTTGTGATCAGTTGCGCTTCACATTTCAGCTGTCTGACGCCGGAAACTGGCCGTACTAAATTGTACTCACGAGTTTGTCGCTGACGAACACGAAACATGAGTGCACTTCCTTGTCGGCCTCCTTTGCGATAAAGCTGAAGAACTTCTTTTCCCCCTTGTCGTCAGCACAGTAAGATATTCGGTGTAGCGGATACTGGTATAGAATTTCCTGTAAAATATATGCACGTAATTAGCATGCTTGCCAATCGCTTAAACGTCATATAAAAAAAAAAAAAAATCAGCATAGAACCGGACAGGTCATGCCCACGTGGCTTTTACACTTGGAAATTCTAGGGTTACTATCGTGTGCATGAATATGCGCAATTGTACTTTGTATAGCTGGAATGTGCTGTGCGCACTCCAGCATACACAAGTCAGGTTACGCATGATTCATACATGAACAAAAGAAAACCAATTAAACTCATTTTTCACGAAGTAGTTTTTATGTGCGAACAGGGCATATAAGCAATGATCATCGGGGATCCGCCAGCTGAAAGAAGGTAAATAGAAACAGATACGATGGATTTACAGGGGGCCGACATTTCCCCTAATTCGTCGACGGGTCAAGTCACCTTGGTTTTGGGGTCCTGTATCGCTACACCATTGATGGAGATGGTGAGCTCTCGCTTCGGGAGCTTGGAGCACTCCGACTTCTTGATCTCCTGGCCGAACTGTAGTTTCCGGATGCCTTCCTTGACAACCTCGATGCCTTTGGGCTGATCGACCTCAGTTCGGCCCAGAAACTGGCAAAAGACGGAGGGGTGGGTATAATTAGCAGATATACCATGAAACAAACATCCACAGGGCAGTGGATATGGCAGTTTAACATTGCCATGGACCATGGTAATAAATGGACCAAACAAAAACAGCGGGAACAAAAACAGAGGCCGTTAACATCATCGTCAGAGGTCATGATGTAACGGAAGACAGTGCCACTCGTCATCTCTGCACCATACGGCTAAAGAATAGTGAAACCTAACAACGCTAGCTTGAATCTTTCATTAAACCCATTTATAATGTTGTCTAAAAAATGGCAAGCTTTATGATGGGCAGACTGGCAGAAGCTAGCCAAACCAGGAGCAGCACAATATACCGAACACAATTTGGCTAGACACCATCGGTGAAATCACAAGATAACCGGCAGCAGCGCAAACATTTGGCGCTGCCAGACCCTGTCCATAAACAGCAGATGGTACCGCTCTGCCATCGCACTGCGGTGTCACCATACGCTGGCACGGCCTGGCACGTCTCCTGCAGCCGAAACGTCGGACCTCTCCGGCACGGCCTGGCACGGTTCCGGCGGAAGGCGCACCGCGGCATCCGGCAGCTAGAGCGGCATCCAACCGCGGTCGGAAGGCCGCGCGTTGACGCCACCCTGGCTGATAGCACGCGGAGCGAGGATGCTCGGCCGGCCAAGGTCACGGCGGCTGCGTCTCTGTGGTGTCGGCACGCGCGCGGATGGCACGGCCGCGTGCCGGGGCAGGGCCGCACCAGTCACCGCCACCGCCCACAGGCCAAACAAACGGCCCGGACACGGCCGCAGCCGGCGTGACGTAACGCTGCGGCCTGCGAGCTGACGCGGCCGGCCGGTGAAAGCTGCGGCACCGTCACACGGCACTCACCGGGGCCGACGCACGGCACTCACCCCGCGCTGAACACGGCCCTCACCCAGGGCCGACACGGCACTCACCCGGTGCCGACACACGGCACCCCCCCCCCCTCCCCCCTCCATCGCGCTGCACTGACACACGGCACTCATCGGGCCGACAAACGGCATTCCCGGCGCGCGCCAAGTTTGAAAGGGTTGAAAACCCTTACGGTGCAATGTAAGCCAGTAGCGGCTGATAAAACAGGGAAGTCCAGTCTGCGTCAACGCAGGCTTAAATGTTTTTCCACCAGACATGTGCATGGATCTGACTGATGGATCCATGATCCCAGTGGATCTCGAAGCAAACGACAAGTTAAGATCTATCTCAGGATTTGGCGACAAACCAAGAACAGGGATATATGATCCGAGTGGATCCCACCACATCCAACCAGTGAAGGTGGTTTCATGCCCATAAGTGCAACAAGACTTTGAACTGTGATGCATGATCACATTATATTCCCAAAACAGAACTATTGCAAATTGCAACAGGCGTTTATTGAGGATATCTGTGTCATCAAGAATTGAGAAAGGATTTATCTCATCGGATATCTAGACAAAACAGGTTCGGATCTACGATTCCAATGCATCTCTCGACAAATGATGCCGGATCTATGATCCATCGGGTCCGAGATCAAGATCCGTGGGATCAGATCAGTCATTTTCTGGAATCCGTGTACATGTCTGGTTTCCACACATAACGCCAAGTGTGGACACGTCACACTCCACTTTGGACCGGGAGCCTAGTCCCTTCGCACGGAGCGAGGGATCCCGCGGATCTCGCAAAAGGCACACCACGCCACGCCAAGGTTTGCCCCTCCACATGTTTCACCGTGCTATCGCACATAATGATCTTCGATAGCGCACGGGGTCTGGGCCAACACTGATCCTTCACTGATTCTCTGATAGAGTGCAGACCGCTGGGTAAACGGTTGACATAAAGATAGTTATTTGTTTAGACAGGGCCTCCCTCCCTCATTCCAATCAAAATTGGGATGGAAAACAATAGCCGCGTTTAGACAAGACACCACACGTAGGTATAAAAGAAAATGAGTAACGAATATGTGTGTGGGGGATGTGGGTATACCTACCTAGAATACACGTATACATACACGTATCTTCACATAGGCATGTCAGACCTTATTCAGCGAGGCCGGTGACTTGCTACTCTGTACTAGCGACTGAGGCCCCAACCGCTTGTAGGTGGCATGTTCAGGAGGGGAAGGGAGCAGCCTCACCTTCACTAGGTAGGCGATGTGTCCAGTCTTCATGGCGTCCGCTGGGTGAACCCATGGCGCCTTGGTGTTGCTACCTGTGAACAATGCCAGAAAAGCAAAGGTGTCGCGTTTAGGTCGTCTGGAGAGGTCACCGCACAAAGTCATGGTGTGAAGAATTGATATATACGGAGATGAAGTCCAAGTGGTAGGTTGTAGGTTGGTAGGATGTAGGTTGGTAGGTTGGTAGGTTGTAGGGATGTAGGTTGGTAGCCGGTAGGTTGTTTAGTAGGTAAGTAGGTAAGCCTGGTAAGGTTAGGTCAGCTTTTTATCTACTTGGACTTCATCTTCACATTTTCAGGAGAATTTATGCCGATCGAAGCCCGCCATTCGTTGAAGGGAGTGATAAAGTTGATGCTCACGTTTCTGAAACTTTCATTAAAGGGACTATCCCACCTTTAACATGGGGTTTGAGTTGAGATAGCCAAGTTTGCGGCGAGGTTCAGAAACCACTATCTATCTCGGTTGCAACCCCCGCGGCCTCTTGGTGTTGAAGAAATTCGTGCCCTTCATTTGAAAATGGGCCTTGTACAAGGCCCTATCTTCAACATGGAGCGACCGTTAGTGTGACGTCACCTCGTTTAGTCATTCTGATTTAAATGGGTTTGTTCGTTGAAAAATCGCTTAAAACTTGGTCTGAACTTTGTTGTGGTGCCTACAGAGGAAAAAGAATCAGCTTTACGACAGTAATGTGGCCTGGGGAAGGAGGTAATTTTGGGCTGTGACGTCACATATTTGAAAGTTTGTGTTTGGAATATGGGAAGCCTAAGATGTTTAATGAAAATAAATGCCAGAACCGTGTTCCTGGTCATCCAATCTATAAAGTCGGGCACAATTTAACTGGTTTTAACAACATTTTAGAAGGTGGGATAGTCCCTTTAAAGGAAGGGTGCCACCTTCCGAAATTTTTGTTCTATGAATCTATTTTACTTATTTGAATTTTTAGACGTGGTTAGCGCGTCCACAATATACAAAAAACCGAAACATTGCATTTAATACATTGGCCAAAAAAAAAGATCGTTGTTTATATCACCACTACAACTCAAGGTCGTTTGATGTGGCAGCTAGGACGGCTGGCATATCCTGTTGTCATGGCAACATATCATCCTGCCATTTGCATTGATGGCGCAACTGAGACAAAAAGATGAACAAATAAAAAGGAAGAAGATAACATGATTTGAACTAAGTTGTAGGTAACCAAGTAGGTAACTGGAGGACTCGCCCGATCGCCGACCAACTCTACGTGGCGCATCTTAACATACGCTCCCTGAATCCCAGCCTGTTGGCGCTGCGTCATGACCTGGACACCCACGGACCGGACTTTTTATCAATTAATGAGACTTGGTTGAGACCATCACAGGACAGCCGGTACATACCGATACCTGGCTACCAGCTGTTCCGGCGGGACCGGCCCGGCTGTGGCGGGCGGCCGGCTGGCGGCGTGGCGGTTGCTGTGCGAGACGGACTGCGCGCTACAGAGGTGGCTGTCTCCGAGCGGCCGGTGCCCGGCTCGAAACTAGAGTCTTTGTGGCTGCGGGTGAGTGCCGGTAACCAGCAGATCTACTTCTGCTCTGTATACCGGCCGCCCCGTCCGACCACCGATGACGTCACGGCCGACCTGGACGACCTGCAGGAGCAGCTGGAGACGGTCAGCACGCGACACGGTGGGCTGATTTTCATTGCCGGCGACGTTAATATTGACATGGCCTCCGACTCTACTGCCAAGCGGAGATACTGTCAGCTGATGGATGCCTTCGCCCTGCGGCAGCATATCACCGGACCCACCTTCCGCAGCTCTGGCTCCACCATCGACGTCATCTGCAGCAACGGCACGCTGCAGCGGCAGGGCACGCTGCACTGTGACTACAGCGATCACAACTGGGCCCGCGCTACATTCAGTCTGACCGGACTCCGACCTAAACCGACCGTGGTGACAGCTCGCAGCTGGCGCCGTACTAACGCCGAGGAGCTGAACCGGCGGCTACAGACCATTGACTGGAGCCCGGTATTCCACAGCACGGATCCCGCCCAGCAGTGGGAGTACTTCCTCGGCGTGACACGGCCCGTGCTGGACGAGTTGGCACCCCTGAAACGGACCAAAGTGCGCAACCCGACCGCCCCGCCCGTGACCGAGGCCACCAAACAGCTGATGGCGGAGCGGCGCGCGGCGCTGCGGGATGGTGACCGCGACCACTACCGGCAGCTGAACCGGCGCGTGCAGGCTGCCATACGGCGGGACACCAGGGACGCTGTGCAGCGGCACATTCAAGAGCGCGGACGGGCCTCCCTGTGGAGGGGAGTGCAGCCTGTCATAGCTTCTAAGAGCGCTGGGAAGCCACCCATCACAGCCGAGCAGGTGGACGCCGACGCACTGAATCGGTATTTTGTCAATATCGGTGTGAACACGGCACGCACGGTAGACGACTCCGGACCCGAGCTGCCGGTTCGCCTGCCCCGAGTGTCGACTGGCTCGTTTACGGTTGCACCCATCACGCCTGAGTACCTGTTCTCCATTGTCGGGCGGATGAACGGTTCGTCTGCCTGCGGCGCCGATGGCTTGTGCATTCGTTTTATTAAAATGTGCCTTTTCTCACTGTACCATGTCTTGACTCACATTGTGAACACTAGCCTGGCTTCACATACTGTACCTGACTCGTGGAAACTTACGCTGGTCCATCCTATTCCCAAGGCATCAAAATCCGACGACTTTAGCAGCTACCGGCCTATCTCCATTCTCACCACTATTGGTAAAATCACCGAGCGCGTCGTCTCTGAACAGCTTTATTCCTATTTCTCTTCTCATCACCTCTTTTCTCCAAACCAGCACGGCTTCAGAACCAACCACTCCACGGACACTGCTCTACTCACCCTGACCGATCATGTTTTCCGGAGCATGGACCAGCGTGAAGTCACCGTTCTCTGTCTGTTGGACTGCTCGCGCTGCTTCGACTGCATCCCACACAGCTCGCTTCTGCGTAAGCTCGAGCTCTACGGTGTAGATACCCGCTGGTTCCGGAGTTACCTTGCCAATCATTATCAGCGTGTGCAGCTTCACTCTACCGGACCGTCTCGTGCTCACACGCTCTCACAGCCGCTACTAAACCCTATCGGTACCTACCAGGGTTCATCGCTCGGGCCATTGTTGCACAATGTGTATGCTAATGACCTGCCGCTCTACACCGACAACTCCACCGGCATCATCGCCTACGCGGACGACGTCCAACTGTACGTTTCCGGACAGCCGAGAGACATCGTTCAGCTGAAACGGTCACTGGAAGGCAGTCTATCAGTTCTGTCGAACTGGTATGGCAAGAACGGCCTCAAGTTAAACGCTGCCAAAACTCAGCTGATCGTCCTCGGCACGCCGGAGATGACTCGTCGTCTGCCTCCCATTACCATCAACTTCTGCGGCTCCACCATCACCAGCTCTGACACTGTCAAGAACCTGGGAGTATGGTTTGACAGTGACATGTCGTTTGTGACGCATACCAGTGACGTGGTGCGGCGGTGCACCGGTACCTTGTGTGGCCTGAGTCACAGTAGACACAGTCTCCCAGCGACAGTCATGGTAACGTTGGTGCAGGGGCTCGTCTTGTCGATTATTAGGTACTGTCTGTCCGTTTACGGTGCCAGCAATGTAACCCAGCGCAAACGACTTCAAAAGCTGGTTAGGTTTGCTGCACGAGTCGTCTCAGGCCGTAGGAAGTATGATCGGGTGAGCGATGTTATCAACGAACTCGGCTGGCTTAACACCGAGAGCTTGTTCAGGTACCAATCCATCGTGCTGGTGAACAAAATGTTGGCCACGTCAGAGCCGCAGCAGTTCGCCACCTGTCTAGTCACCCGGCAGAGTGTACACGGGCGGGATACCAGGTACAATGACATGCTTGTGACCCCCACTGTCAGGTCAGAGTCCGGACGTCGCCGTTTTCTGTACTCTGCGGTGTCAGGGTACAACGAGCTGCCGGCGGACCTGCGCGCTCTTAGTCAGGCTCGATTCAAGCCGGCACTGAGGGAGCATTTGTTTGACCGCGAGCGAGCCACTTAGCTGTCCTAGTTAGCACTCGTGATGAGGGTGAATGTGTGAATGATTGCGGTGACTGTTGTCATATCCCATTCGATTTGTATATGCACAACGACTTGGACATAGAATAGCCGTGTTTCCACGGACATGTCTGTAATGTGAAATAAATAAATAAATAAATAAATAAACTGTTGGCCATATTTGCCAACAGTTAAAGAACATCAAATAAGTCGAGTAAAGGTTTTTCCTTTACAATGCTTAAGAGATCTATGGAACCCTTCACCCTTCATGCAACTTACTAGAAAAACTTCCCAATTAAAATTTTAAAACTTAAGTGTATACCATAAAGAAAAAATATACCCTTTCAAAATGATAAAACATGCTTCAAACAGGGCCTCCTCTAAGGATTTTTCACTGGGTGGGCAAAATTTTCGCCACTTCCCCGCCCAAGCTGGCGGATCCAGCCACTTGTTTTGGGGTTCAACCAATTTCAAAACCTGTTACCGGGGGGGGGGGGGGGGGGTGCGGGGATGAGACGAAATAAGCTGTGCCATTATTGGAAATAAGATGATAGTTAACGTTTGTCGTATGTTTTATGGTTAGCGATGCTCGAGCGATTCGTTCCAGATTACATGTACAGCCCTCAGCAGACTGCGTGGTAGGTATTCTTTTTCCGACAAAGCTGATTATAATTCAAAAGTCATGTTATCAGTCGGTCGAAGCTCACTGCAAATAGATGCGCCATGCTCCACTCCTTCGATAGGGCCTATCAATAAACAAAGCATACCTACGCCTTGTGTGGCAACAAAATGTTTAAGTTCGTTTTGGGGGCAAATATAAACTTTTGGGTTTTGTTGCCAAACTGGATGGAAAATGCATACGATGATAATGCCAATCTAAGCTGCGGAGTCTTGCGCATCTTTCTGTTACGATTTCCGAGTGCCCGATAGCATAGTATTCGCGTTATTCTCGGTTTTGTCGAAAAAAAGGATACCTACCACGCAGTCTGCAGAGGGCTGTACTTGCAGCCCTCCGCAAAAACTGCGTGGTAGGTATTCTTATTTCGACAAAACCGATACCTACCTAATATCTCAAAGGTTATGATTATCAGTCGGTCGGAACACATTGCATATAGATGCGCCATGCTCCACCCCTTCGATTAATTCAGTCACTGAACAATGTGTACTCTTACCGTAGCAAAAAAGCAAAAGTTTGTTTTGGGGGGAAATATAAACTCTTGTGTGTTGTTGTCAAACTAGATGGAAAATGTATACCAAAATAAGCCCAATCTAAGGTGCGGAGTCTCGCGCGTCTTGCTGTTACGATTTCCGAATGACCGTTAGCGCATTCGCGTTATTCTCGGTTTTGTCGAAAAAAGATACCTACCACGCAGCTTGCAGAGGGTTGTACCTTTATTGTACGTGCCGTTTCACTTACGAGACAATTACTTGATAACTCCAATATCGGCAGGGGCGTGGCCAAGGGGAGGGGCCACGGGGGCAATGGCCCCCTCCCTTGAGCGCAGAAGGCGCCATGGGGGCCCCACAGGCCCCGGGATATTTTTTTCTAACACTGGATAAAACGTATTTTACTCGGAAGCAAATTTATATCAGTTCAAGTTTCATTTCTGTGGCCCTGGTTACCCGAGGTGCCCCTGATTACCCAATGGGCCCCTGCACTCATCCGAGGACCCCCGGTTTCCTGGGGCCTCTGGTGGCCCAGGGGGCCCCTGGTCGCTTGGGGGGAGCTAGTCGCCTGGGGGCCCCTGGTCACCTGGGGTTCTGGTCGCCTGGGCCCCTGCCCCCTGGTCGTCTGAAAGAACGTTTGTCACCTGCAGTGGCATAGCCAATGAGGGGGCCAAAGGGACCATGGCCCCTCCTGGAAGCCAGGGGTCCTTATTCCATAGGGGCCCTTGACTGACACAGTGGGCCCTTGGCGACGCAAAGGCCCTGAGGCAGATCCTTTGACACAGCTGAGTAGTTATTCTTTGGCCAAGAGAGACCCAATTTTAGAGCCTTGGGGCCCTATTGAAACCAGGGGGCCAGTTGGATGGGATGGGTCCAACATGGGTCCAACGGTGTGTAAACAGAATCAATGCGTTCCGACTGTTGGTCTGACCCTATATCGGTTTGAGGGAGCTCGGATCGGATCCACTGTCGATTTGAGGGGCCCTTATCGGTTTGAGGAGGCCCTCAAAGACCTGAACGGGCCCTTAGTTTGTCTGAGAGGGCCCTACGTCGGCCTGACTGGGCCTCTGCAAGTGCAAGGGGCCTTTTGTCGGTCTGAGTGGCCCTAGACGGCTTATATGACCCTCAGACGGCTTACGAGGCTCTCATGGGCTATAGGGGCCTGTGACGGTCTGAAGAACCCTCATCCGACCTACGGGTCCTCAGACCGCCATCAGAACCGGCTGGCGACTCTATGAAGCTATTCGTGGGCCTGTCTAACAGGGGCCCATATACTGCTTACCCCCTCAGTTCTAACATTGTTTGTTAATGAATATTTTTTCCATTTATTTGGGCCCCATCAAAAAAAAATATTGGATGCAACCCGATGGCTTTTTGGATTTTGAGGGGGTTATCTTGCGCCCTTGTGCGTTTAGCCCCCTCCTTGAGGAAATCCTGGCTACGCTCCTGAATATCGAGCAACCAGAAAACTTTTTTTGACCTTCAAACAGCATCCAGTTTGCTTAAGACCGGAAAGGTAGTACCGGACGTCCGGCCGGACCTTTATTTTTGCATTTGCTTCTGGGTGGGCAAATCGACGCCACTGGGTGGGCAATTGTGGCGACTGGGTGGGCATTTGCCCACCCAGTGGGTATGTTAGAGGAGGCCCTGGCTTCAAAAGTATAACTTTTATACATACCTTTGCTGATTTCATGTTTTATAAAATACCCTTAACACGACGAGGAAATAGTGCTGAAGATTTTTGCCTGCCCGAATGCTGGCAGCAAAACTCGCAAATGATAACTTCACGTGCGGATTCAATGCTGACCGTCTCGAGCATAGGTAAGTGAAGCCGGTTTTTAGGTTCATGTGAGGCTAATCTTGTAAAAACTGCGTTGTGTCCAAAAGGTGGCACCCTTCCTTTAAGGATGTATTTCAAACTCCGCGAGGAACTGAACGGAATTTGACCGCTCCGGTGAGCCAAGGTCGGGCAGATGGGGTCGTCTTTGCGGTGTCAGCGCCGGCACCCACCCTGCGAGTTGGAGCGCTGCAGCAGTTTGTTGTTCTGCGTCCACCGCAGGATGGCCGAGTTCCTCATGGCGGCGTCCGTGCGGGGCCCTATTGTTCCGGCGGCCTGGGCGGCGCGGCGCGTGCAGAGCTGCTGTGACCGGCACGCGGCGCCCGGTCCGAGGGCGGCCTCCTTCGCTGCTGCTGCTGCTGCTGCTGCTGCTGCTGCTGCTGCTGCTGCTGGAGGGCCGACAGTCTCGCACCGTCCGCCGCCGGCTCACATCGTCCGCCGACGGCCTCTGAAAGAACATGGAATAACTGTCAGACAGTAGTCCAGATATCGACAATCCTAGACAAAAGGTTACATGGTTGAACAACTAGAAGACACAGAAAAGAAAGACCAGAACTAACACTTCTTACACATAAGAAGTGATGCATATATGGGGGCTTCTGCCCGATACGATTTTGAAGTAACACTATCATGTAGCGACGACCGTCTTAACAGAAACAAAATAGTTAAATATTTTCTTGGGTTTCCCATCTCAGTCAGCATTATTGAGGAGCATGTAGACTGCAGAGGCGAAGAACTTGGGTTCCGAAGGAGCTCGAGCATCCTGTCAGTGCCATGACACCCCCTTGAAGTTGAAGGCGGTTGACCGCCCCCCCCCCCCGAGATTCCGAGAAGGAAACAAGATAGGGACAAGCGGTAAACGGCATGGGGTATGCACGGACAAGGTCTACAATTTTACAAAGGTCATTTTCAGGTCAGGTCAACGATGACGTCACAGGGGTCAAAAAAGTCAAAATGGCTGCGCTAGATATGAGAAGGGTTATCCTCGAATAACTTTCGAAGTAGCCAAGCTAAGAACAAACTAAGGGCACCATCGTGATCCTCTCATCAATCCGCATCGAATGATATATGTGCCGACCTCGAGAAGAAAAGGTCAAAGGTTGACCTCAGGTCACGTGACCTCAAGGTCATCATGTACATCATCGATGCGCCTTGACAAGCTGAACACGATGAGACCATCTGCGTGGCTGTAGCTCGTTCCTGTGAGGAGTTATTAGCAAAAAAAAAAAACATTGGTGACCCTTGATGACGTCACATGACCTTACAGTTGCCCAAGAGCAAAAAAAGGCCTCAAGGTAGTCAAGTTGATCGTATCTGAAGTCATTCATGGTATATTGGGCCATTCCGACGCGTTTAGTGGAAAAAAAAACAGGGAATTGATCCCCCCCCATTGACTTATAATGGGGAGGTCAAGAAATGACCTGACCTTAGGTCACCGATATCAAAATTCCGAGATAAACACATTGTAGCTACTAAGGACTTCGTTACATCCTGCGACTTTCAAAGGCCTCCGTCATTTACCGTAGCTCTGACACGGTGACAAAGTTGCCAAAAAGTGATTTGAGCTTGGGTCATTTGAAGTGACTGGTGACCTGACCTTGAAAGGTAGGAGGTTCAAACTTGCACACCATGTGTAAAATTGATGAGGGAAAAGTCATGCCAAGTTTCGCGGGGCTACGCGCCGCAGTTTTGCGCTATTCACGAAAAACCTCGGGGGGGGGGGGCGGTCAACCCCAGTCGGTGCGCGGGTGAAGAAAACGTTGAAAATTTGTGTGAAATTTCTTAACATTGAAACGTATTTAGTTACAAAACTTCCCTGAAAAAAAAATCGCCACCAAGATATTGACGCAACGGAAATTTGGTGGAGCGCCGGGTTCCCGTCAGTGAGAGCTCAGTCTAGAAACACTACAGTGCGCGATATACGAGACTCCGAAACTGCTGTAGGTATTCATGTTCTGCGGCTGTGGAAGCATCTGCAACACGTTAAAGTTGGCGAGCGGGACAGACCGCGCCCGAACCCATAGCTTTGATTTCTGTAATCCCTGAGCGTTAAATTATTTCAAGATCTTTCGTCCGTGCAGATTGCAAATGCTATGAATGAATGAGTAACGCGGGGGTTCACTAATCACCCCATTCGTTCAAAAACATGGACAAAAAAATGTTTAAACAAAACTAAAAACCAATGGCATTTGTGACTTCAAGTTACCGCCTACATCGTGGCAACTGGCAACACTAGCGACGCGCTGTCGATAATGAGGTTTTTGTGTCATAGGTCGATAAGCTTTGTGGGTATGTTACACGCTTTGGAAGATTTCGTTGCTCAGGGCCATTTCCCCATCCATGTCTTGCGTTTGTAGTTGGCTGATAAATGGGCAACTTCGAAAGCTATTATTGTGCAGGTAGGTTCTATTTTCCTTATAGTGTACACTGTGCATTCTTAAAAATGGAAACACCACAGTGGCTCAAAGATATAAAAAGGTTATAACGAGATTTTCATGTCCATTGGCGTGTGTCAGCCTACCTTGAATTTTTATCAGTACATGACTGTGCGATTCGTCAGGCTTTCCGGACCGGTCAGGCTAGTTTGGTGACGTCACAGGCCCTGGGAGGTCACGTGACCGTCGCATGCTCGGCGGACTGTGTCGGCGGCGGTGGCTGGCGGTGGGCGGCGCGCGGCGGTGGGCGGCTGTTCAGGGCCGGCGGGCACGGCACGGCCACCCCGCTGCCGCCAGGACCCACATCGGTACTGGGGCGCCACACAGGGTCGACACGCGCTGCCACAGGCCGGCACACATGGCCCGCTGGACCTACCGGAGGTCATTCCAGCTACTGGATACTGGATATACCAATGTTTGCGTTACAGTAGGCACCTACGACGTAAACGTCAGCCGGCCCCGTGAGGGGGTTCGCGGAGGGCCGAAGAGGGGGGAGAGGGGGGCAGCTCCCGGCGCGTGCCCCGCCATTCGCCGGGTCCGGTCTCCGGTGTCGGGTGTCGCCGCGCCGCCGGATGTGCGTAGTCCGAGAGTGGCGCAGGGAGCCCCCCCCCCCCCCCAGTCCGCAGCCGGCACTGCCCGGTCGCCCGACAGTCCACAGTCCGCGCGAGGAGCTGAGGGGGACGGTCAGCCGCCGACTGCGCAATGCGCTCCCTACGGACGGAAACTGAAACGGCCCTGTACCGGCGCGGAGTGCGCAAGAGCATTTCCGTACATGTCTGAGGCGAATGGCGGTCACAGCAGCATCCTGCACGCCTTCACGCGCGCCTTGGTGCTGCGAAAACTGATATATGTATTGCTGATCATCTTTCCGTTTAGATCTATCCTTGTCAAAATATGAATGTTCCTGTGACAGTAATACCGCAATGCATTGGTCCACCCTGGTCAGATCAGAAGGAAAATGTTCAAGTGACAAAAAAAGAGACGGTGGTTAAAAAAAAAACCAAAATGCTATTAAATAATACAGCGTCATGCGTCAAATACAGGTTTAGCTACTGTTGATACTTGATATAGACTTTTGCCAGATATTGGGGGGGGGGGGAATTGCCGAAGAATGGCCGGCGTAGCACTCGATAGCTGTTGCCGTGCTCGCTGCACCCATCGGCGACGCATACCGACTGGGACGGAACAGCTGTCTGAATATCTAGTAGGGCTTTGCATCTAATACATGATCTGATGACCTCGCGATAATATTTCGGCGACTCGAATGGCACGACGCAATGCAGCCTTGAGTCTTGACTGTTCAATGCACATCGAATGAAAGACATTTTGTGGCGGTAGAAGAAAGTAAATTTCAAAACGTAACGCCACGCCGCCTCCCGCCCCATCTCTCCCCTTTCTTTTTCCCCCAGTATGCATGCGTAAAATGGATAACGTAGATTGCGCGGCTCGAAATATGAATGAGTTAAACTTAAAATGAACTTTCTTCAAAATTTCCATCCTTCGTTTGTGAGAGCTCTCTATATAAAACTAACGCATTTTCGTTTGCAATCGCATCGTTACATCATATTCAAGTCGGTTGAAACCGTTCATGATGATTCAGAATGATTCTGAACATGCTAATCGACTTGGTACGAGCGAATATGACGTAATAGTACGACTGTTGATGAACTTTGGGGAGGTTCTACTACCACTGATTAATAAGCATTTTTAACTAGCTTTACTACTTCAAACTGGGTAGTGGACAGTGGTGACTGGTGAACAAGCTTATCTGTATCCGTTTATTGTGGATATACCCGGCTCGTCGGCCCGGTGGGTATACCCGGTGGGTCGGCCACCCACCGCCGGCGGGGAGAGGACGGGAGGGAGAGGGGGAGGGGAGGGGCGGCGGTCGCACCGTTAGCCGCTCCCGCTACCGGCGAGCGTCACGGGCCAAGGAGCGGCTCGGTGCCGCCGTCAGGAACCGCCCGCCGCCGCCGCCGCCGCCGCCGCCGTCAGCGGCTCGGTCCGTTCGGTCTACCGCGACACCTCACCACAGTCCACGTACTACCGCCGCTCGCCAGGTGCTCCCAGCGGCGTCCCGGTCAGTGCTGAGAGACACGGAACCAGAGGAAATGTCCAATGTCCCAATGTCCCAATGCCCATACTGACAGAGTGTCCCAGAGTTTTCAGAACGCAACGAGCCAAGGGGCGAACCTTAAACCCCACTGGATCTGAGCTAGAATGACGAACATTCTGGATTACTGGGTTGGCAGCATTGAAACTTGAAATGACACAGCACAGCAACTTGAAATGATATGCCTATTGCCTACACATTGTTTTATTTTGAGTGGACGCCGCCAAATTATCAAAGAACTGAGTGATCCGCTCCACACAGCAGGTACCTAAATGTAAAAAAAAATATTGATATTAACAATTAGGTTGGTCTTTTATCTTATCAAATATGTTTTGTAGCTTCTTAACCGGGAGGTTGCTGGAGGGAGTAGGGGCGGTAAACGCCCCAGCCGAAAACTCGAGGACCAATAGGAGTAGCGAAACGCGCGAGGCGGCAAACGAAAGACGACGAGACGCTTTAAATAAGTACTTGAAAGTTTAAATTTCATACGTCGTTTTTGGTCGGAAACTCCGAAATCATGACGTCACTCAAACCTAGATATCTAAAAACTCTGGCTTTTTTTAATTTCGTCACAACAAACTTCAATGAATTGTCTACATGTAACCAAATTTGGCACGGCTGCGGCGTGTCGATTTGTTTTAGCTATAGCGCGGCGAAAAAAAAAGTTTAAAGGAAACAGTCCACTTTCCTGAAATCAGTATTTTGCTATTGATTTATGATTTTTTATGCTCAAAATAATCATGAAATAAAATAAAACCTTTTTGTAAAAACAATTATTTTCTATATTTTAATATAGGACGAACTATATTCTATGTAAAATAATGTTTGACGCGGAAGCTTATTACGCATTGACCAATCATATTGCGTAGCTCAAACCTACGCATACTGCATTGGCTGTCA